ATACTGAAACAGCGGTAGGTGAGGGGAACCCTGAAAACAGGCCCTTCCTGAGTAGGCAAGAGGCCCTGCTTTGTCTCCTGCGACTTCTCTCTCCCTTGGGGGCCAGGAGATGGATGGGGAAGTGGGATTTAGTGAACTGTGGGAGTTGGTTTACTTACTTCTGAGTAACTGAGGTTAATGTTTTCTTTTTTTTAGTTACAAATAGTGTGCACAAATTACCTCAGAGGAAGATCTCCATTTAAACCTGCTCTTAAATTATGTATAAGAGATGACAGTTGGACAACCTACTGTACCCTGTCCTCGTAGCTAAAGGTCCCAGAGGGTCGTCTGGATGATTCATGTGGTAATCTGATAGGGTGCACACTTCACTGCCCCTGCCGGGGCTGGCTGCCTGAGAACAGGACACAATTTAGAGTAACTCTCCTCACTCCTGTATATGTGTTTTTGGTTTTGGTTTTGTTTTGTTTTTTCCAGTTTTGTCTTTGTTCATAAGTGTTCTGTCTGTGGACCCCATCTCCACCAACTCTTATCTGTATGTTAGCCCTGTTCTCTGCTGGTTTCTGACGTCAGGGTTATGTCTCTCCTATTCCTCCTTCCAGATTTGAAGGGGAGGGTCAGGGCAGAAAAGGCACACAAGGAAATTAAAAGTCACAGTGTTCATTTGTGGCCTCTGAGGCCAAGAAACTGATGATTTCTTGAAATTAGTTCCCACTCCTGGCGGGCATTTTACACAGACGGCAGGTGGACCAGTTCCAGGCCGGAGTGGGCTGAGGGGTTTGTCTGATCCAGTCCTGTCATGTGCAACAATTCTCATTACATAAAAAACTTCTGCTTGAGCTAAACTTTTTTTTTTTTTTTTTAAGGATGGGTACATATTAAAACATTAAATACTGTATCTTTTGGCAAGGACCTTCCAAATGTATTCAGTCTATCCCTGGGACTCTTGGTAGCAACATACATAAATCTTCCCAAATGAATGGGCATTTGACTCATTGGGAATTTCCAAAGAAGGTGATCCTGGAACTTCCCTTAGTGAGATAGTCTGGTGCCTCCCAGTTCTGATAGTGAACTTCCTTTAGTGTGTTACTTAAATCGTTCCTGAAATAATATAGGGCGACTTCTTATCCTTTTGTTAGTTGTCAGTGGTAAGCTTCTCTCCACCCTCAAGGGCCAAGAACTTAATACACCTGGTGTAGACCCCCAGCCAATTCAGCCCGTGGGCTTCCATCCTGTAAGTGCAAGGACCAGGGTGCTGGCCAGGAGGCCGCTGCGACAAAAGGCATGCATTTCCCTCTGTCAGCCCTCCTCCACTCCCACCGCCCTGCAATGTGAGTAGGATTATCCGGCTTCCCGACGCCTGAAGCTCCGCTGTGCCACGTGGTAGGAAGGGAGCGGTTATTGGCATAGACGATGACAACAGACGTGTCTGTTTGACAGCCTGACAGTGAGCTGGGAGCTGGGAAGGCACTGCACAGTGAGGGGTGGGGTGGAAATCTGTTCAGCATGCCTGTTCCAAAGGTCTAGGAAGCGTGTTCTCTAGTGTAGATTTTCATGGGGGAAATCGTTAAATTAAGATGTTTATCACACTGAAGACTACAGCTGAAGCTATTTGAAAAAGACAGATTACATTGTAAAAATCAGGATTTTCCCAGTGCAGAGTGATTGGGGACGTGGGCAATAATGTACAGGAAGCATTAGTACATAGCACAAGCAGACAGGACCCTGGGCTGGGAGGGGTGGGCCTGCAGGGCAGTTGGATTGATAGTCCAGGTAATTAAAATGTGGTTCATTTTAGTTGCCAAGTAATTATAGTTTGAATGAATGGAATAGCTTTTCAAGCACCCCGCTTACTGCTATGATCTTCTAATTGGAATACATATGGAACATGGATAGTTAGAATCTACATGTTTCCTCCAAAGCTGATTTAAACCATTATGCTCTATCTTGTCACGCAGGAACTCAGATCTTGTTGTCACAGTAGTTCATTTATCCGACCTTCTTTTACATTAAACAAAGGTATTAATCATCATGGCCTGACAGAACAGAAACATGGATGAGCTAGTTACTGTGCAAATGTACCCATCGGTCTTGTGGGTAATGGGAAACCCATTAAGGTTTTTGGGAGATCAGCCTAAGTGTGTACTTACTTTGAAGGAGAGTCAGGAGTCTGGTCCCTGAACTGACAAGTGTCCTTCCTGGTTGCTTGGCAGGACCCATTCCTCTAGCCCTGCCCCCAGCTCTTTCCCAGATGTGTGTAGGAACAGGTGGTCCTGAAGGAAAGCACACCAGGTGCTAATGACATCCATTCGTCTCTGCCATTGTGTGTGCTGTGGGCACGCTCCGAGGAGCCTGAGCTGGGGAAGGCACTCCACAGCACTTACCGTATAGAAAGAGCAGCACAAGGTTTATTTCAGAGTTTAGTTATTTCTCTGTTAAAAATGGAGACATCAAGGAGGAGACAGTTGTGCTTCTTATTTGGGGTCCGTGAATCTCTGAAATGGGAAGCAGCATTTGAGATGTTTATGTATTTTCTAGCACGATGGTCTTTTTTTTGCTTTTTATATTTTGACTAGAGGCCCAATGCATGAAAATTGTGCAAGAGCAAGCCTTTTTTCCCCTGGCACCTGGGACCCTGGCTTTCGCCTGGAAGGACGTCCAGTTTAATTAGCATTTTATGCTTTTATTATTATAGATTCTCAAAAGTGCCTTTGAGCCCTAGCTGGTTTGGCTCAGTGGATGGAGCATCGGCCTGTGGACTGAAGGGTCCCAGGTTTGATTCTGGTCAAGGTCACATGCCTGGGTTGTGGGCTTGATCCCCAGTGGGGGGGCACCCAGGAGGCAGCCTATCAATGATTCTCTCTCATCATTGATGTTTCTCTCTCTCTCTCTCTCTCTCTCCCTTCCTCTTTTAAAAATATACTTTTTAAAAAGTGCCTTTGACACAGAAAGAACACTGGGTGTTTGAACTTTGATGTTAGCCAGGTGCTATACATAATTTATACAATTTTTCCATTGTGCTAGTGATCAGAGTGGAGATATCACTCCAGTGTACTAGCGGAAGCAGGTCCAGAGTGCTCGGTGAGGCAGCTAGCACCCCCGGTGAGTGGTAACACTTTCAGCCCGGCGGTGTCTGACATGACCTGGTCCGTTACTGACTCCTTGCTGTGACGTTGGGTTGCCACATACCTTTCTGGGCCTGAATGTCCCCACCTGTACATGGAGGGGTTTAAACAACATGATCTCTTAAGGACCCTTTTAACTTCTAAACTGAGTCCATACCTGTGGCTTCCCCCTTCAGGCCAGTGCCTGTCCTCTGTCGAGGTCCCCGTGGTGGTGTGAGCTCCACCCCAGAAACACTCCGTGTTTTCCTACAAGTGTCCCTACCCTGGTAGCGTGTAGAGCCCTTCTCTTAAAACTTCAATGAATTGTAGGTAAATGACTTTTATATAGAAAAGATTCTTAATACATAAAGTATACTTAATATTTTATAAGCTAAAAATCCTACTTTTATAATTTTAAAATCACAAGTTTCTTTTCTATTGCAGTTTGTTAGTTTTGATATATTTGCTCAATTCCGAGTAAAGGGAAGTGAGATGGACCCATCCTGTTGCTCATTAGCCTCACTCTGAATAACGTTTTGCAGAGGGGATGCCAGTTTATGATGGAAAGTTGCAGGGACTCTTAACGCTCCTCTCACCTCGGAATTGTGGAATTACATTGGCCTGTGGCTGTAGGTATTTTGCATGTCACTACTAAGGTTTTACATAAGGGTCTGGGGACTGGAGCCTGCAGCTAATTGTCTCCCCAGAGGAAGGTCATTCGGAGCTAATGAGGAATGGCCCTGGGGGTATGGGCTGCCAGGGGGCAAGCAGAAGAGGGTCCTCAGCCCCACACTGGCTGCCCAAGGAAGAGAGGAGAGACCATGACAGGTGCAAGAATGGCCGCATTTCACCTCTGCTAAAAGCCGGGAGTGAAGGAAGAGCTGGGTCAGGTTTATTCTCTTTGGATAATGACATTCCTGAATCCACGTAGGAAGGCTGGTTGTGTCTGTCACTCTATTCTTTTTTGAAACCCCTTCTCAAAACCCCACCCTGCGAGGTGTGGTCTGATAACCAGCACGTGATTGATTTTTATCCCTGAAGAAGTCTTGTTTTCTGCACGGACTTGTGTTTCCGAGCTTTGCCAGAGTTCAGAAGTTTGAGCTGCCTCTGAAGTGCTGGCTGCGGAGAGGCGGGGTTTCCCGGCTCCAATGAGGTGGCTGCAGTGCGGGGGAAAGCCTATTGGCTTCCACAGGAGTGCCTGCTCTGCAACCCCAGCGCCGGCCACGCAGCCTGTTTTATTGTTTGTGGAGTCCTGTGGATCCTGCCGGCTCCTGGCCCGGGCAGAGGGCGAGCGGGCGGTTTGGGACGCTGCACGCTGAGCTCGACTTCTCCCAAGTCCACCTGTGCGGTGACCTCTCAGCCCGGTGCCTGGGTTGACGCGGAATCTCTTTCTCCAGCCGAGGAGCTCCCGGACGGCTGGCTCTCTGCCCTTGCGAGGAAAGATGCCTGGGAGCGGAGTGGGATTACAGGTTGGGATGCTAGGTGCCCGGCAGAGAGCCCGAGTGCTTTGGTTCTGCTCTTCCCCAAGTCCTGACAAGTGTTCCTGAAAGGAGCACCCTGCTTGGTTTTTAAGTTTTTCCTTTTAATTTATTTTAATTTTACTCTGGTGTGTGGCTGTCAATGTTCTAGAAACCAAGTAGCACCATGTGGCTGGAGTAAAAAAAATATATATATATTTTTTTAACCCTTCATTTTCTTTTTCTTTGTCATTGAATGACAGAGACACAGTCTTTTTGCATACAGCCGTCCGCGTCTGACCCTCAGCGTTGTCTAAGTGGGAAGGAGCAGGCTCGTGGAAAGGACCTGGACCTGTTTTGTTTTGTTTTTGTTTTTTCAAAAAGAAGCTTTTTGCTTGCAGGGCTGTCCTTTGTCTAGAGCGGATTTCGATGTGAAAAGAAGATGAAAAAGGAAGGCTCTTCAGGTTCCTTCAGACTCAGGTCCAGCCCGGGCTCGCTCTCACGTGCTGTGAGTTGGGTGAATTTCTCCTCGCTGTCCAGGCAGACAAAGAGGCTGTTTCGCAGTGACGGGGAGCTCTCCGTGTGTGGGCAGCAGGTGGAGGCGGACGATGAGAGCTGGATATACAGAGCCCAGCCCAGGAAAGGTGACTTGATTCTTTGTTCATTTAAACATTTTTTTTTTTAAGTGTGCCATGTAGAATTCTTTGTCTCTAGCCCTGATGTCCCTTCACGATTTTTGGCCTCGTTAGGTGTTTTGGGTGTTTTTTTTGTGTCGGAATTCAATGTCATTCATTTGTTTACATGTCTACAATAGTCAGGTCCCTCCAGCTAGATTCAGCTTGAGGTGGTGCCCCTCGGAGAAGGATAAAATAGCAGTTATCGGTCCTCAGCCCTCTCTCCCCCTCATCAGACCACGTGACGTGGTGAAAAGTTCCATGGTGAACCTCCATCGCAGGAGGAAGCTTCTGTTCTTACGGCGGTTTGAGGTCAGGACATGGAGCTCTTTTCTGAAGCAGTGCCCCGAGGGAACGCTGGGAATCATGGATAAGCTCCCTTGCATCTTCTTAAAGAAGACTGACAGAATCCCAGGAAGGCTTGAATTGAACAGGTGTTGGGTAACATCAAGGAACATGAACTCACGGAGGAAGGGCTTAGCCAAAAGGAGTTTCTGGATCTCTTTCAAGTTTCCTTTCAGACCAGTGTTGCTCTCTGTTTTCAGGTTTAGCATGTTTTGCTTTCCTTCAGGTGAGGGGGAAATACCAGTTCCCCGGGGGCAGAGAAGGAAGCGTGGAGCGTTTCTGAACACACCTCCTATTTTTTATATTTAGAATTTGAGTTCTTCCTCTTAGCATGCTTGCTGTAGACAGGATTGTTAAACCCTAACATGGTTTCTCGATTCGGTGCCGTGGCAAAGCCCCATAGGGGAGCACTATTGAAGTATTACAAAGGAACCTGGTGCAGACATTCCTCGGGATTGTGCTTTCTGTTGATCGAATTTTTCCCGTGCCAAAAGAAACTCTCTAGCCTCTTCCAGGGACCTGCTCTTTCCCTTCTTTGGGAGAAACAAAACTGCTGAAATGTGAGAGAATAAACTAAGTTGTGTGTGTGTGTGTACAGGAATTATACTCCACGGATGGAGAATCAAACACAGCCCTGCTTCCTGGATCATGTGTGTGAAGCATTTGTTCTTGTCTGTTCAGCTATGGCACACGGGGGGGGGCGAGCTAACGCTCTTTGAAGATGTCAGATATTGGGTCCAGGAGCCTATAGACAGTGGTCCGCTGATACTGAGCTTAAAAATACAGGTTTTCGTCTCCGATGCTGTGTAATTGCCAGGCGTAGACGAGGCATTTGAGCCTTGTGTCGGGAGCTGTGTAGTTCAGTAAGTCCGTGAACTTTACTTTTCTAAATCAGGCATAAGCTGTGGTTTTAGGAAATGGATGGGTTGTAATGCTTGAAGCAAACATGTTAGCAGGGTGGGTACAGCGGTGCTGTGGTTGCGGTAGGGTGTAGTTTTTATTCCTTTGGCCTTTGCCAAAGATTTGGTGTGTTTTGTTGTTGTTGTTGTGATATATATATATATATATATATATATATATATATATATATATATATATATATAGAACTTGTTTTAAATCAACTGCTGTCAGAGTTTTGTAAAAGATGGTGTGCATATGAGCATGTGGCTTTGGAGTTTCTATCGTAGATGCTTTATCCAAGTTAACATTAATGGGAAAGAGACTGGGAATTTGCATGTGTTCATTCTAGTTGGGAAATGAAGCAGATATTGTACAGTTGACTTGTGAAAAATAAAGAATTCATTGTAAAGAACAGGAGTGACTTGAAAAGGAAAGGGAGGACTTGTCTATGCAATAACACAAGAGATAGTGTTCCCTATCCCTTAGTGCGATAGGGCACACAGTAGGCTCATGAAGATAAATGGAAGCATATGACGGCATATGAGTTTATGTAGTCTTAGAAATAATTAGGCATGGATAATATTATCATTTTTGACATAAGGAGTTGGAGGAAATCCTTAAAAAGCTGCCTAGAGATAACAATTCATGGTATTATATTCTATTTTCACATTTGACTTACTAAAGAAAGTTGACTCCCAACTTTGAGATGTGGTTTCAAAGGCATGTTGTAACAGTGGATCTTTATTCTACATGATTTTTTCCTTTGGAGAAATACAGAAATGACATTTGTTTATGCTTGCAGATCAAAAGAGTTAAAATCAGAAAAATTATGCAAGGTTGGAGTCTTGTCTTAGAAGCCTCCAATAAGCTAAAACTCTAGTAAGGAATGACAGTCAGTGTGAAGCATGCCCAGTGGCCATTTGGTTGCAAAAATATATGCATTAAAGATCCACAATCTGATGGGAATTGTGCAGCACCTTTTTTTCTCATACATCTGTCTGCCCAGGCCACATGCATCTGAATCCACTTTCCTTTCAAGCCTTCTCCCTAACCCCTGTACCTATGTGAGCTTTTTTTTAAAAATTATTATTTACACATGTTCCTATGATCTGGAACAACAACAACAATAACAAAATAGGGCACTCTCAGTGAACCAGATAAAATATTATGTGTGTCTTTCCACATACACCACCAACAAGCAGTGACAGCTAAAGGTAGGAGAGTGTAGCTTAACAGCTCAGCTTCACTTCAGGGGTTGGTCACCCCTGTGTTTGTCCCCCAACTGTCCCCTCCTCCCCCACAGCCATGGGATCTTTCTCCCTCCCACCTTCCCATCCAGCAGCTGCTGCAAGGCCTGAGTGCTTGCCTCCTCCCTGCCCACTGAGTCCAGGTCACATTGCTTTGCTCATAGTTGTTTTGCACTTTAGCCTGTCAAATCCCTACAGTCAGTTTGGGTAGTATGTTGTGTAAGATGCACAATCATTCTATAAAACAATTCTTTCAAGTTTTGTTACAACCAAAGAAGCTCTTTTTGTAGTGACTCCCCATGCTGGATTGCTCATCAGAAACATCGCAGTGAAGTGTTTAAGTTGCTACCCTTATGGATATCTATCTGTACACAAACCTATAGCTTTATACTTTAATGTTGTCACTTGTTACTCAAGAAGCTAAAGATAAAATTACAGTTCTAGAGACTCCTTTGGGGAAACTTTTTATAAGACTAGCATGCTACTAAAAGGCATCTTTCTGAATACACTACTTTTGCTGAGCCTCAAAAATAACTAGAAAATAATTCTGATGTAGACAAGCAATCACGAGTAAAAAAAAATATTGGCAAAAAATGTCAAGGTGGCACCCCAAATTTGAGAGCAAAACTAGATAAATAAGTAATATTTATTTTGAAGGTCACTGTGTATGTTGGAAAAATAAGCTAAATAGAGTTTATCTCAATGTCTTCATAAAAAGATAAGAATATTATCTTGCAGTGAATATACTGTTTTTCTGCACTCTTTCTACTGACGTTGACATTCTTTGAAAGACAACACAGTGAGTGCTACTTATTATTTTATCTGGTTCACTGAGACTGCCCTGCTTTCTTTTGTTCCAGCTCCTGGTAAGTTTCAAAACTCTCTTGCATTAACATTTGTACTCAGGAAGGTAAAAATGAATTGAGTAACAGCAATGATCAGCTCTTACATTCATAGTGTGACATGATGTTTCAACTTAGACATTAAAATCAAGAGTGTGAGTCTGTATCCTCTTGAGTATTAAGTTTAATGCATCATGAGCCAGTTTGTTAAATGCCTGTGTAATAAAAAAGTGGAAGTCACTTGTAGATGAGAGAGCATGTAGCTCTTCATGTGGAATTGTTGTATTACGCATTGAAGGAATTTTTCCTGAGAACTGTGTGTGGGACACAAAAGAGATACAGCTCTGAAGTCAAGAAGTTCATATGTCAATGGAGAAGCAGATAAGGCATTTGAGGAAGAACTAAAGAGAAAATGCAGGGTATTTGTGAGCAAGGATAAAAATGAATGGCTTAAACAAGGTCTAAATAAAGAGACTATATCTGAAACATTTTCATGTTTCGCATTGTCTTCTTCTGGCTTTTAGCTTATGAGCTCCTGTTTTGTTAACTCCCACATAGTGGGAGGTTTTCAAGGGAAACTGGTGACTAATAGTATTTATTCTGTGCTTCCCCTGTCTCCCTCACTTCCCCTTCTCTTGTCAAATAAAACCAAAAGAGGCGGAATAATAATGGGGTATCCTCTCCTCGGGCAGAGCATGTTTTGTGCTCTCAGCCCTCTGTTCAGCTGGGCAGAGGCGTGATTGATGATTCTGGTATTGGCAGGTCAGCAGATAGACGGTAATTGACATGCAAAGCCTCAGTTTAAACAGTGATTTCACTCTCTTCTTCTGGACTTTGTCCTATTCTAGTATATTTATCACATTACTGAATTTGGATCATTTGGACTTCATTACCTTCCCTTCCCACAGACTACAGAAATGACCAGAATGGCCTTACTAAGTATCAATGGTAATGGATAACCCATACAAGAGATTATCAGTTGTTGAAGGTGGGAGTTGGCTGCATTTAAAGTAATTTCATTCCAGTGTCCTTCCTAATAAAATTGCTGCAGAAAACAAGATCCATGTGCACAATTGGATTAGCAATGACTTCAGATATTACATCAGAGAAAAATGGCATGGAAGACCACACACGGCAAGGTCAAGATCCTGTTTTGTGTAAATAGCTGTGATTTATTTTGGATTATAAAACTCTTCAAAATTATGGGAATTAAGAACACTTTCTTCATGGCATTCAAGGAACCTAAAAAGTGTTGGCAAGTAATGTCAAGGTAGCACCCCAAATTTGAGAGCAAAACTAGATAAGCAATATTTATTTTGAGGGTCACTGTGTACATTGGAAAGATAGGTAAATGGAGTTTATTTGTGTCTTGATAAAAGAGGTCAGAATATGCTCTTGCAGTGAACGTAGTTTCCCTACATTCTTTCTACTGACATTGACATTTGTGAAAGACACAGTGAGTGCCACTTAATATTTTATCTGGTTCACTGAAACTGCCCTTTTTGACCTTTGATTATTATTATTTTTTTTTTTTGAGGCTGGGGGTCCCTGTTGTCTTACTTTCTTATTTTGCTGCAAAAATGATTTCATTTTTTTATTAAATTGATGAAGTTCTATTGAAATAATGTTTTTATGT